GCTTCTTCTATGCCACCCGTCTTATTGTCACAATCCATCCCCACCCCTCGACCCGATGCGCCCTCCCCGACTTCTACCTCCATATCCTTCTCCTAAGCGCCGCGTGGCGAGGCCACAATATGGTCGAAGTTTACTGCATAATTACAGGGACTATCCCCGCATGCGAAAACTACGACCATTTTCGCGCGGCCCCCTTCCGCACCTTCACCACCCTGTATCCACACTACCTCGCTTCCCTCCCCCATAGTGGTAATCGCTTCCCCCGCTTCCACCGGATCGTTCGATATCAAGAACTTTCAGAAACGGTGGCGAGGTTGGACAGTTTCCTGCCCCCTCTCCCGATTAACCCTCGCCCTCGCCATGCCCCCATGTACCGTCTTCCCTTCCCTCTCCCCACTGGACACTGGTGATCGGATGATTGGTGCGCGTGTCACCGCGATGACACATGTGATCCCCTCCTTGGATTGTCAATGGTCCTTCCTGAGGAATTAGTAGTTAGAGCTGTGTTTGCCACACTGGACGACGTCCACACTCATTCATACGGTAAGTGGCAAAAAAGGAAAAACTCCACATATCGATCGATTAGAGAGATCGACACATGTCAACAAGCAAGCAGGAGCTTGCTAATATTGGAACCCCCTGGGCGTCACATATGTGACGAACCGATTTCTGCACCGCGCGATTTTCTGCGCGATAGCAGTGAGGGGTCATAAACTGGGAAGGATGGGCCAATTACGGGAGATTGGGATGGATGGGAAATTGCATCAGTGTCCTCGCTTCTTCGTCTTTTTGCGTCGGTTCCTTTCGGATGGCTGGTAGGCCCAGGTGGGCCCTGGGACGATCGATTGGTTGATTGGATGTGTGAGTGGCGCGCTGTCATAACGCGATTAATGAATGTTGACGTCGCTTCTTTTTGTTTCAGGCTCAGACTTTTTAGGCGCGGGCATTGCGCGGGAATTTTACTTCGTTCTTTTTTAAATTTCTTTTTGAATTTTTTTTCTTCAGATCTTGCCGAGCCCTAATGACTCTCGAAATTTTGGACTTCCTTTTCGGAGCTTGTGCTCTTTGCTTTTCCGCATTAAGATAAGAATTTAAAAATTTAGGAATTTTGCGGTTAGGATCCTCTTTTGTCGTGCAGCGTTTTTTGCTTACGCACTTCTCAGTGCGGCTGCAACGGAACTCTGATTTTGTGGACGCCTTTAATTGGGTGTGTAACTGTAATTTCGGGCGGGCGCCATTGTAACTGTATCTTTCTTCTTGTGCTTCGTTTTTCCCGCCTTCGCTTCGTCTTGTGATGTTTAGCCCACCCGTGGGCTGCATGATCGGATCGATGCATGGAGAGAGGCAAAGTCCCCCACGCTGCGGCCCGGTCATGCAAAACGCAGACGCTCCCTTTCTAATCTTCTTTCTAAGTCCTTGTAATTTCGTGTTCTTCGCGAATGCATGCACACTATGAATTCCGGCTGCGCGATTAGTTAGCTCTCTTAACCAGCTGTTGGAAGCTCGGGGTAGCGCGATCAGTAAGGGTCGGCTCATAAGCGAAGTAAGAGGTGAGTTGAAGTGGGAGTCGGGCAACCCAACGAGCTGGTGCCAAACGCGAGGGGTTGACGCGGGCCACGACAGACTGTGGGCGCGGGCGAACCTGACGGGTGCGGGAGGACTAAGCGGGGTGACGACTTCGTGGGTTGGTGCGCGACGACGAACTGTCCGCATGAGAGAGAGAGAGAGAGAGAGAGAGAGAGAGAGAGAGAGAGAGAGAGAGAGAGAGAGAGAGAGAGAGAGAGAGAGTTGAGGTTGATGGACGAGGATTTGCGATTTCTTTTGTCTTTTCTCCCTCTCTGCTAGTGTATATAAATTTTGATTTCGGATCGGGGCGATTCGCCCGTTTTTGTCTTCAGAATCTTGGCTTGGTTTTCTTTTGCTCACACTCGCTTTTGCAATTTCAATCTCTGATGTTGTGTGTTATGCTGCATGAATGGATGTCGCGTCCGTTTGCTTTCCCTACGCCTGATCTTTGCCTTTGCTTATCATCTTGATGCACTTATGAGTAGGGTAGGAATTTTGCGTAGTCATCAATAATGTTTCCGTTCTTGTTTATCCCTTGATTGAGCTGTTGTGATTATTGCATCTTGCATGCTTAGAAATTATGGAGTGATGAGATGATCGGGTAGCTGTTTGCCCAGAAACCAGCGAACGCCTTGCAGGGACGCGCATAAGTGCGATCTGATCTACGCACTTACACGCGTCCACGCGCGTCGATTCACAACCACCTACGCATGAAAAGGCTACGACTGCGGGGATAATGCTTGATTGGATGTGGCCATCCGAGTCCTGCGTCGACGACGAAGCAATCATCCCGTGTGAACACGTGTAAGTGCGATTCAACTCGCGCGGCCTACACGTCCTCACATGCGGTGATCACAACCTACCAAGACACGCCCTTAGGAATTTCACGGCCCTACGATGACATAATGACACGCTCCGGGAGCTCAGCTTCGTCGTACGACCCAGAGTACTTCACCCCGTGGATTGAGGAGTGCCTCCGACAGAGGTTCCCCTGCCTAACAGAGAATCGACTGTGTCGTAGGGAGTTTCACTGTGCCACAACCAGCGATCCACGGTGTTCTGATTTCCCCACTTCGGACCACACGCACTTCTTCATTTCCCCCGGTTTTGTCATTATCTCCACTAATTTCCCTCCCTTCTGTCTTCTTCTCCCGTATCATCAACTCAGAGTTGTCCCGTGGAAGGCCATAGCCCCATATTGGCCCCGCACGCCCTGCGGAAATTGCTGGCGACGCGGCAACCAGAGAGCCTTGGAAGCCCGAGGGCCTAACCCGAACGTACGACGACCGG